CGATGACAGCCCCGCAGCTACACAAATACGCTAACAATCATCAGACTGGAGACTTGACAACTTTTAAGTTTGAATGTGGAGTATGAATGAAAACATTGGACAAACTCCAGCCTCTTGGAAATAACGCATTTCCTTACATGCAAGCCTGCCAAGACCTTTGTTAAAAAAGTATCTGTTGAAATCTCTTCAAAGCCTTGCCATTTCCCACAAGAGTCGGGTCATTACCATTTGTGGCTGTGTGATTTATGCTCTTCCTAGTCAGGTCATCTGGGTTTGCTTTCCCATGCAGGGTCCTCGGCAGGGCAGGGAGGAGCTACATGTAAATTTTTATTCTATGGGGATGCTTGCTTGTGTGTGTTTGTATGTGTGTACGTGCATATGTGTGCAGGCCAGAGGTCAACACTGGAGGTTTTTCTCAATTAATCTCTGCCTAACTGAGACAGGGCCTCTCACTGAGCCTGGGGCTCACTGATTGCCTAGACTGGCTGGCCGGTGAGTTCCTGGGATCCCCCTGCCTCCACCCCTGCAGCACCTGGCGCATGGTTGCTGACGAATGCTGCCGTGCCCAGCTTTTCACATGGGTGCTCAGGGCTCGAACTCAGGACCCCATCATTGTGCAACTAGCACTTTATTAGCTGGGCAATTTCCCCAGCACCAAACACTCCCCTTTAAGATTTGTTTCATGTTTGACTATGTGCATGTGAGTGCAGCACCTACATGGGCCAGAAGAGGGCACTGGATTGCCTGGAGCTGGAATTAAGGGGAACTGGGGGGACCCAGGTCCTCTGCAAGAACATAGAGTGCTCTCAGCTGTACCATCTTCTCAGGCCCGAGCATTCCCATTGAAAGCCCTGAAGTCCATCCACCCTCTGATTGAAGTTCTCACATCTGAACATTTTGTCACCTCTCCGGCGATGAAATAAAAACATTTGTGCTTGTAAACATCAAAGACTGTTCTTAAATGTATACCACTCATGGTCTGTAAGTTAAAAAAAAAAAAACTGTTTCAGAATTAATCATCCTGCTAATATGACTCATTATATCACATTATAAAAGAAGGAAAAATGGCTCAGTGGTTAAGAGCGCTTGCTACTCTTGCAGAGGACCCAGGTTTCAGTTCTCAGCATCCACTTTTGGTGGCTCACAACCGCTTGGAACTCTAGTTCCAGGGAATCTGATGCCCTCTTCTGGCCTCCTTGAGCACTTGTGTGCACGTGCACATAAAGACATAATGAATAAAAACAAATTAAAACCATGTTACATATAGTAAAGGTTTGACCTCAGGGCTGAAGAGATGACTCAGCAGTTATGAGCAAGTAACCCTCTTGTAGATGACCTGGGTTCAATCCTAGAACCCACATAGTGGCTCACAGCCTCCATAATTCCAGTTGCAAGCTATCTGGTGCCCTCTTCTGACCTTTGAGGTTACTGCATGCATAAGGTGTATGCACACACATGTGCACATGCACATACAGAGAGGGGTGGGAGTGGGGGTGGAGGGAGAGACAGAGATGGAGAGCACCGTTATAAAAAATAAGAATTTGGCCGGGCGGTGGTGGCGCACGCTTTTAATCCCAGCACTCGGTAGGCAGAGGCAGGCCAATCTCTGAGTTCGAGGCCGGGCTGGACCGACAGCCTCCAAAACAATACAGAGAAACCCTGTCTCATAAAACCAAAATAAATAAATAAATAAATAAATAAATAAATAAATAAATAAGGATTTAAAAAGATGTGACTTCGGAGGTTCTATAGAAAAGGGTTATTCCTCTCCCTAAGACAGTATTTATCAAAATAGCTAAATTAGGGGGCTGGAGAGACGGCTCAGTGTTTAAGAGTACCGGCTGTTCTTCCAGAGGGCCTGGGTTCAATTCCCAGCACCCACATGGTAGTTCACAACTATCTATGACTGCTGTTCCAGAGGTTCTAATACTCTCACACAGACATACATGCAGGCAAAACATCAGTGTACATGAAAATACTAATAAAGTATTAAGACAAAACAAATTGCTAAATGCCTCATGAGGACACAACTCATCTTTGAGCAGAGAGTAGTACAACATGATGAGACCTCTTTTTTTCTTCTTCCGACCTAAGATACTTATTTAGTTCATCATGATAATCAAATTTGAAAACATCTGTGGGTGGTTTTGGGCTAAGAATATGCCTCCTCTCTGCAAGCCTTAATCAGCAGCTGTATTTGTTACTTTGGGAGTCCGACTTAGATACTTAGAAGACCCAGGAGCAGTTAGCAAGTGCCCACCTGGGGTTCCATCTGCCAGTCACTTTGTAGAGAACCATGGCGAGAAAAGAGGCATGGTCTTTCTGGAGTGGGCGTGGCCTCAGCGGGAGCAGACCTTCTTTCTAAGCTCTGAGCTGGTGCTGCCTGCCTCCTGGCCACTGTGGGGTAGCCCATTGGCTCCCAGGCCTCATGAAGGTCCTTTGCGGACTAGAGCTGCTGTGCAAACTTCTGAGCCCCGTCAGTGATGTGGGACAATAAAGAGCAAAAGCAAGAAGGAAGAAAGCGGCAAGGAGGGGACCAAGGATGGGGATGCTGTGAGTTTAGGAAGTGTGTGGTCAGAGGATGTAAGTGTTCCTGCTGAGAAGGTGGTGTCTGAGGGGAGCATAATGGGATCCAGGTAACTCTGAGGCTGTGAGATGGATGAGCCAGTGACCCAGGAAGGGAAAAGGGGAACCACCAAGGTCACAGTGTTCAATGCAGTCAGGAGAAGGGGATGTGCTGGAGCTGGGCTATAAGGATAGAGGACCACTGTGTTGGTTTCAGGGGAGGGAGGCTGGTGGTTTCCTGACCCTGAAGCCCTGCCCCACTTCCTGCTTGCTAGTCCCTGACTCTCGTGAGGTCCCCAACACCATGTCACATCTGCCCACAGTGACTATGACATGACAGCATCACTAGAGTGGTCCTGCTATCTGACTCTGCTGCCACAAGTTTCCCCAGTGCTTCTCTGTAGTAATGGCCTGGAAATGGCAGACCATAGACACCCCAGTCTTCCTCGATGTGCTTCCGGGACCAGAACCCATGAAGGAGCGGTGTTCTCCAATAGCAGAGGTGAGTCTGAGGATGGAGCCAGGCGGGACTAGGTGTACAAGGCTGAGGCTATCACATGTCATATAGCAGCATCAAGAAAGGGAGGCACAGCCTCTGGTCCATGGTGCTTAGGACAAACATGGTCAATGGATGCCACCAGAGGAAGACTCTGGGGATCTTCATGACGACCTGCAGCAGCATAGGAGGCAGTGTGTGTGTGTGTGTGTGTGTGTGTGTGTTCTGAGGGGACCAGCTGAGAAAGGCACAGGCTGTCTGTCTCCTATACAGCAAACCACCTGCTGGGTGAAGATGTATGTGAGGAGAGTCACAGGCAGTCAGAAAATGTCACACGCAGCAAAGAGGAATCCTAGGAAAGGGACCGTCCCAACAGATGACTGGACCCAATAAGGAGAGAGACTGCGGTCCTCTTAGTGAGTGGGTGGGCTCAGGAGATCTCAGTGGCCTCACCTAACTCACACAGAGCCAGGAAGCTAATCCATTGAATGACAACTGGCAGTTTCACCAAACCTGAAGCCAATGGAACAGCAAATAGCACAGTGTGCACAGAACCTACGTACACGGTCATCAATCGAACACTTCTCTGGCCATGCACGATGATTATAAGGTTTGGAAAGGGGCGAGTTGACCAATTATAGATGAGGAAAGCAAGGCCAGGGACTGGGTGTGGAAGACAGCCTCTCTGTGCAGAGTGGCTAACCACCGTGCTGCAGCGCTCATGGACAGAGCACACAGGACAAGAAGTGTCTGGAGAATTCCATCCCCAGGAAGATGTCACCTCCCTCCCCCATAAAGTCCTCCCAATAACCCTATGTGCCATGCCACCAAAGTTCCCCCCCCCCCGGGGGAGCCAAGGAGTTTATTGGGCTAACTCAGAGAGCTTGGGTGAAGACTTACTGGTAGGAATGGGGGGAGGGGGCAGGGATTTAAAGCAGCCAGGGTAAGCTTGCACCCAGTGTGGATCATGACTTCCCCTTAACTGCATCGATGGAGCAGACGCACACCCTCAGTTAACCTTCCTTAGCCTGTATATTCTAATACCCCCGAGACCCGAAGCCTGAAACAGTTAAGGCATAATCACACACGAATGGCTGAGAGGGACAGGAGAGCAACTAGAATCTTACATGAGGGTCCAGTGACCTTCTCTGAGGGTGTATCAATTGTCCACAAGCCCACTCAAGCCACTGCCGATTTGATAAAGACAGAGGCCGTTTTGCTCCGAGGGACACATCCTGTGACAAGGAGATCCAGGTTTGAATGCTACAGCATTGTCCCAGATGAGTCTGTGTGGACACAGTGGGATCAGAGAGGCTTTAGACTGGAGTGCCACACCACTGTCCCAGATGAGCCTGTCCCTGGCACAGCAGGGCAGTAACGGAAGGTGGGTATGGTAACAGACACTGCACATATACAAGAGAACACCCTGAGGACCGTGGCAGCAGGAGTAGATCTGGAGCCAGCAGCCTCAGCTTCTAGAAGGCGAGGAACAAGAGAGAGCAAGCAGCTAAGGAATGAAGATGGCCAGGCTAAAACACAAACAAGCCGTTCCATTTACCTCGGCAGACTCGCTTCCTGGAGCTGGGTGATGGCTCCTCTGTATAGTGCTTGCCATTAGGACATGAGAACCTGAGTTTGATCCCCAGAACCAGTGTAAAGAGCTGGGCATGGCGGTGTACACTTGCAGTCCTAGCACAGGGCAGGCAGAGACGTGAGCACTCCCATGGCTCTCTGGCTGGCATGCCTAATTTAGGTATCTGATGGACCCTGTGCCAGTGAGATGCTGTCTTGAAAAGCATGGTGAATGTCTCCTGAGGATACCCAACATCATCAGGCCCCTGTACACACGTGATGGTCTTGTCTACATGGAATGCGCACACGCTTCATCATGGGTGTCATCCTCTAAGTAACACGGCACTAGTGTCTACAGGGCGCTTACCTTTGTATGGGGTGTTAGATGTGATCGGGGGGATGGGACTATCAGCTGCAGTGGTGTGGTCTGGAGTCAGGGCTCTATTCCTGCTCTGTGCAGCTTGTGATGGCCAGAGGAGTTCTCTCAACAGACCTCTCTCTGCTCAGGTGGAGAATTCACTGAAGAAGAGGATTTCACAGCAGAGCTGAAATTTAAGTTAAAAAAATCTTTTAACATAGGCTTTTAAAGCATGGCAGTTAATACGGGGGGGAGGGTAACAGGCTAGAAGAAAATCACCCTGCCCCTGGCCTGTCCCTGAACCTGGGACTTGAAAATTCACACCCCCATAACTCAGGGTTAACAGCCAAACAGTGCGTCTGGCCATACTTTTCCACTAGCTCACTGCGCATGCTCCAAAAACCCTATACCGCTCACCCTCTCCACCCAGCCCGCTGTTGTCTCCGTTCCACGTTTCTCCCCAACATCTGTTGTATGAGGTTTGTTGCACGGTGTGACCTTTCGGTATTCCTTGGCTCCCGATTGCTAAGATGCCCTTGGGCTGGAAAACCCGTTCATAAGATGCATCCAAGGATGGGTGCAGGCTCATCAAACTCCCCTATGTGTAGCTGCAAAGAGGGTTCTAGAAGCTTTGGGAATTACACTGTTCAAAGAGTTTCTAAGTCCCTCCCCCCTCCTCCCTCCCTCCCTCTAAAAGATACTAGGAGGACTCTCATATGTCATATAGGTAGGATTACAATCTGATAAAGTAAAACCTTGGAACTCAAAGGTCACATGATGAGGCGATGTCATCTTTCATGGGGCTGGAGAGATGGCTCAGTGATTCAGAGCACTGACTGCTTTTGCTGAGGATCTGAATTCGGGTCCCAGCACCCACATGCCGGCTTACAGACTTTGTAACTCCAATTCTGGGATATCTGATGCCCTCTTCTGGCCTAATACGCCTGCATACACATGGCACACCTGCATACATGCAGACAAAACATATATACTTAAAGGAAAAAGAAACCTAAAGACAATCTTCCTTTGTAAATGTGGGTTCCTGTGAGATTCCTGGGGAAATCCCAGCTTTGTATCTGAGAAGAGATAAGAGTCACCCTTTGTCATGTACACTGAGGTGTTACTGAGCATCTATTGCTATTTTAATATTCTTTTTGGAATTATTTTCATGTGCCTGCCCTATTGCTATTTTAATATTCTTTTTGGAATTATTTTCATGTGTCTTCCCTGTGTGTGTATTGGAACCCCTGGAGCTGGAGTTAGGGTGGTTGTGAGCTGCCCAATATTGGTGCTAGGAGCCAAATCTAGGAGGTCCTCTAGAAGAGTAGCAAGTGCTCTTAACCACTGAGCCGGCTCAGCCCCTTATTTGTATTTTTTCAAACGTATGTATGCCTGCTTTGCCTGGATGCACGCCTGTTTATGCACCATCTGTACGCAGTGCCTATGGAGGCCAAGAGAGGGCGCTAGATTCCCCCTGGAACTGGAGTTACAGATGATTGTGAGTCATTGTGTGGGTGCTGGAGATCAAACTCAAGTCTTCTGAAGAGCGGCTAGTGCTTTTAACCACTCCCCAGCCCCTCCAGCCCCTCACTTTAATGTTCTCATTTGAGATATCACTGTATGAAAGGAACATTTCTGTGTTGGCAAGCTTCAGCAATTTCTGTCAACTGTGTTGGAATCTCGATCCTCCGGTGGCTTCAGCCAGACTCCAGACTCCTTTTCTTCCCTGCATCCCCTTAGTTTCCCATCTTTCTACCCCCATTTCAAGACGTGACTCAGAAAGACTGAAGACTGTTCACATACAACACCGTTCTACGTGGGGTGGGGGTAGAGCTTCTGTAGGCCCAGCTGAGGAGGGACTGCAGGATGGAGCGTGTGCAGTGATGAAGAATGACGTTCGCCCAAGTGGCTGGTGGGAAAACACGGGAGGTCTCACAATGAAGCGGCCCGATTCTTTGTGAAGTCCGCATGCGCGGAAAGTTTCTCTGTACCGTCCAACAGGCCTGAGAATCCAAAATTGTATTTTCTCTTCTGGACGGCAAAGATGATTGACAGGAGGCAAGGCCTTTGTCATTTGGGAGCATGAGAACATTTGAGGTCTTCGGCTTTTGAAAAATATTTGTTTTATGTACATTCCCAGAGTGGGAGGGGTGGGGTCTGGAATGTGTCTCTTGCTACCAGGAGGGTAAGTTAGCCAGAACATCCACGTGCTTGAGTCTTCCAGAACCCCAGCTCTCCTTGCATGCCTGACAAACATTTCTAGGCCCCTTCCCAGGGTGCTCCCTTCTATACCCATCTCTCTTGGGGTGGGGGAAGGGAACAGCATCTCACTCTATAGTCCAGGCTGGCCTAGGTCTCTTGGCTTTTCTCATGCCTCAGCTCCCAAGTTCTGGAACTACGGCTGTGCCCCACCACTGCTGTTAAGCAAGCCCCTGTTCTTCTGTGCTATTTGGAACTAACAGATTAGAGCAAGAAGTCAGGAGGGTAAATTCAACCCGAGAACCAACCACCTGGGCTCTCAAAGGCTGGCGCTTGGCTTTTCAGGCACGGAGCCCTACACACCTGAGGTTTGATCCCATTAGCCAACCGGAAAGGTGGAAGGAGAGAACCAACTCCACAAAGTTGTCCTCCGATGTCCACACTACGGCATGCACGATCAAAACACACACACACACACACACACACACACACACACACACACACACACACGCTTCTCAAAACACACACTTTAAAAGCAGAAAAGACATGCAACCAGAGAGCTGGCTCAGTGCTAAGAGCGCTGGCTGCTCTTGCAGAGGACCTGGGTATCATTCCCAGCGCCCACGTGGAGACTCACAATCAGCTGTAAATCCGGTCTCGGGGAAACCTGACGCCCCCTTCCGGACCTTGTGGGCACTGCAGGCATATGTTGTCCTTCCGGACTTGCAAAGCTCCCTCCCACACACACATTAAATAAAAACAAAGCTTGTTAAATATCAAAGAACAATTTGCAAGCAAACCCTACCTTCCTTGAATTACTCAAAACAAAGATGCCAGATGGGTGGGAGCTTGGGGTGTCAATGTGTGACCTGGTGTGGGGTGGGGTGGGGTGCAGGCCTGTACATGTGAGGTACACGGTATTGTTGTAGCTGTCTTCCCTCCCGTGAGCGACTCCGGGGAAGGGCTGGGGGTAGGGCAGAGTCTGGAAAAGGAAGCTGAGCCGCTCTGATGAGCTGGTGAGGAGAGGAAGGCTCCCCCCTGCCGGGGGCGTGATGAATAGTCCCAAATCTCAAGCTGGGCCTGTCTGCAGCGGCCGGGAGGCTGGCAGCATAATCCAGGGGGCTTCTCCATTCTAAACGCAAATGAAGAGGCCCTGAGCCCAAAGGGGGGAGGATCGGAACCTGGAGTTCAAAGCTCAAAAAATGACACATTGCTTCTTTTTTTCCTCCCATCCCCCCCTTTATTTTTTAAAGGGGCCAGAAATATGGTTGGTTATTATCTTGAGTTATTGCTACAAAGAATTTCAAAATTAAAAGATAAGCATGCAGAGGAAGCACAGTAATTTTCATAAAAGGGGGACTTAAAACAGATGTGCTCTCTTTAATCGAAGTGTGCTTGGGAAAATAGGCGCACATTTTTAACATAGCAGGGGATGGCGCAGGGCTTCCCGAGTTTGTCTTCGGGGCTTCCCAGGGTGCAATGGGTCTTCGGGCTGGGACAGGCAGGACAAATGTGTCAACACCACCACATATGGCCAGTCAAGTGTCTTTATCTCCTGGTGCCAGGGCACAGGAGCACTCTGGGCATTGGTCAGATTTTTCACTAACTGCATGATTTAATTGTTTTTAATTTGTCGAGCAATCTGCCTTTTGGAATGTGCCCCTGTTGTGCAAACCCCTGACACTTGTCCACAAATGAAGCCAAGATTGTATTTGTCCTCACTTTAACCCCTATCTTGGGGGGACTATATTGTCTTTTCTTTTAATGTTGACAATTCATTCTTAAGTGATGCATGCCCTTTCTGCTCTAAGAGTTAGGCTGGCACCCGCTAAGCTTCGATCCCAAGTCCTATTCATCCAAGCACAAGCTTGGGGCTTCATTTTCTGCAAGGAATGAGAACCAGAGTGGTCTGTCAGAGGAGTGGAATGGCCCGTTCCAGCTACTGGGGGAAAGAAGAAGTTCATCAGGGCTGTATCGGAGCTTCTGACTAGTCTAAGAAGCAAATATTGAAATTCTCTTAGGAATGGCAAGGTCATCCAGGGACAGCCATTCAACATAAAGTCATTAGGGGATTGTAAATAAGATTATTTTTTATAATCAAATGTCATATACATGTGTGTGTCTGTGTTTGTATGCACATGCATGTACAGGTGCGTGGGAAGAGCTGAAGGAGAACAGTTCTCCCGGAGCTGGAGTTACGAGAACCGTGAGCTGCACAACAAGGGAATTAGGACTTGAACTCTGGTCCCCTATAAGAGCAGCACACACCAGTCATCTCTCAGCCCTGGGAATGGCAAGTTAAAACAACAGCTATTAAAATACCCCAAATGTAGAACACCAACCACGGAAGACTGCTGAGGAGGACAGAGAAAGGAGGAACTCGCCCACTGTGGTAAGGGTACTACAGCCGCTACCGAACAGGCTTTTGCAAAACTCAACATAATACTCACTGCAGGCTTAAATAATTGTGTTGTTCTAGGTGGCTTTCTATTGCCCGGTAAAGCCGAGACCAAAACCAAGGGAGGCAGGGATTTCTTTGACTTACACTTCCGCATCACAGTCCAGGGAAGTAAGGCCAGGGAGTCAAGCGGGACCTTGAGGCGGAAACTGAAGCAGAGGCCATGTTAAGTTACCGCTTACTGACTCATTCCCCCATGCCGTCCTCAGCCTGCTTCCTTATATAACCCATGATCACCTACCCAGGTGTGGGGCCACCCACAGTGGGCTGAGCCCTCCTTCAGCAGTTAGTAATCAAGAAAATGCCCCACACGCTTGCCCACAGGCCAACCTGATGGAGGCGATTCCTCCACCGAGGGCCCCTCTTCCCAGGTGACTCTAACTTGTGCCCTATTGACAAAAACTAACCAGGGCCCCTTTCTTGATGTTTACCCAGAGAATTAAAAAGTTTACATGAAAAACCAACACAGATGTTCTGTAGCAACTCTATTCGTGATGGCCCAAACTTGATGGCAACTGATTCGTCCTGCAATGAGCGAGTGGATGAAAAGACCATAGGCCAACCTGTCAGTACTGTTGTGCAGCAGGGAAAGCCATAGGGCCACACAGAGACAAGGAAGAAACCTAGATGGCCATTACCAGGTGAAAGAAGCCACTCTGGAAAAACAAAGATCCCATGATATTCCCAGGGAGGCAAAACTATGGGGACAGAGAATGACCCCGGGGTTGCCAGGAGTTGGGGGAGGGAAAGATGAATGAGCAGGCAGAGAGGGATTTCAAAGCTCTGAAATCTCCGTGCATAATGCAATGGCAGTGGATACATAGTGAGGGGGAGGGGGAGGGGAGGGGGAGGGGAAAGGGAAGGGGGAGAAAAGGGGAGGGTTAGGGGAGGGGGAGGGGAGGGGAAGGGAAGGGGAGGTGGAGGGGTGAGTTTTATTTAATGGTGTGACCTCCTGGTAATTCAAACACACTCCAGGGAAGGCCCCACTCCCAAGAGCAGTTGGGCAACACAAACTAGGAAGGAGGAGAAAGCTGGGGAGGAGGAGGAGGAGGTGGGGGGAAGCTAGGTGGTTAGGAAGTAAGGGTGGAGGAGGATGGGTCTTGGGGGAGTTATGATCAAAATATATTACAATTTTAAATTAATAAAAATACTATTTAAAAGGAGGGGAGAGGGATGGCATGCATGCATGTTTTTATTTTGTTTTGTTTTGTTTTCTGAGACGGGTTCTCATGTAGCCCAGGCTGAACTTGAGCTCACTATGTAGCCGAAGATGACCTTGAACTTCTGATTCTCCTGTATTCTACCAAGGGCTGGTGTTACAGGTCTGCCACCACGCCCTGAACCTTTTAGTGGTGTAGGATCTGTAAATAAATTTCAAGGCACATCACTTTGACAGCAGAAGACCCTCACACTTTACTCAGTCTTATAGAGTTTTTTTTTTTTTTTGAGACAGGGTTTCTCTATATTGTTTTGGAGGCTGTCCTGGAACTAGCTCTATAGACCAGGCTGGCCTCGAACTCATAGAGATCCGCCCGCCTCTGCCTCCCTGGTGCTGGGATTAAAGTCGTGCGCTACCAACGCCCGACTGTCTTATAGAGTTTTTAAGTTGTGTCTGTGAGTGCCCAGAGCTGCTTCCTGGGGCTTATGTTACAGTCTTTTACAATTATCCCCATAGCTACTTACCTTATGCAGATTAAATGTTCCTAAAATTATTCTTGTGTGTGGTGTATGCATACATGTGTGTGTATCTGAGTCATGGCACATGAGTGTAGGTCAGGGGATAATCTCAAAAGTCAGCTCTTGCCCTCCTCTATGGGGGTTCCAGGAATCAAACTCAGGTTGCCAGCCTTGGTAGCAATCACCTTTACCTACTGAGCCATCTCGCCAGCCCTCCAGCTGGAGCTCATCCATTCAGCTAGACTAGCTGCAGGCCAGCCTCAGGGATCCACCCATTTCTACCTCTTAGTGCTGGGATTATGAGTGCTGTCTACCATGCCTGGCTTTTTACATAGATGCTAGGAATCCAAACTCAGGCCCTCATGCCTGCATGGCAAGCCCTTTAGTGATAGAGCCATAGCCTCAGCCCCTAAATGTCTTTTGGTACCAGAGGAAGTCAAGAACACATTTGCAGCTGGGCGTTGGTAGCACACGCCTTTAATCCCAGCACTCGGAGGCAAAGGCAGGTTGGATCTCTGTGAGTTCGAGGCCAGCCTGGTCTACAGAGCCAGTTCCAGGATATATAGGCTCCAAAGCTACACAGACAAACCCTGTCTCAAAAACAAAACAAAACAAAAACAAAAACAAAAAACACAGTTGCATGTGGCAGTCTGTTGAAGACCAAAAATCTCGAATTGCTGTTTCATTACTTCTCTACTGATGTGATAAAACACCATGGCTAAGGTAACTTATAGGAGAAAGGGCTTATTTAGACTTACAGTTCCAGTGTGGTTAGAGTCCATCCCCTTCAGAGTGGGGAGCCGTGGCAGCAGGCAGGCATGGCTGGCGATGGCAGCAATAAGTTGATAGCTCCGGTCTTACAAGCCCAAAGCAGAAAGAGACACTGGAAACGGCATGGTCTTTAAGCTCTCAAAGCCCACTACAGTGACCTATTTCAGTAAGATCACACATCCCAAGCGCTACCAGCTGGAGGCCAAGTGTTCAAACGCAGGAGCCTACGGGAGACAGTCTCATTCCAATCATGTTTGGTGAAGATGCCACTTTGTAACAAGCTAGTGCAGTGAGGGGGGTTGGGCCAAAGCCAGGTCTGTTGACCCTTGCAATTTGTAAATCTCTTTGTTTATGGAAAACTAAGAGCCCATTTTCAAGTTTTGGATCCGAAGTCTTAGAGTTTCAAACCATGTCGTAGACTCAGACTATACTTGTGCCACAGAGCGGGGGGAGGGAGGGTCTCACCCTAAAGACTTGAGTGTTAAAAGCTGTGTGAAGCTGACTGAGGAGGAGCTGGGTAGCTGGATTTAGGTTGGTGTGGTCATCGCCCCCCCCCCCGATGAGTTATTATTATGGTTTGTATTTGAAATGCCCTCCCATAGCTTAGGTTTGGAAGGCCCTGTCTCCAGGGGCTTCTGTGTTCAGAGGTCGTGAGGGATCTGATCTCTTCACTGGAATAAGCCACTGACCGGGCTATAGCTGGGTAACTGTTGGGAAGTGGTGGAACCTATAGGAGGCAGAATTAGGATGGAAAAGCTGGAAGGGTGGGTGTGAAGGATGTACCTTGTTCCTGTCCCCTTCCTCTGTGTCTCCACCTCCTATCTTCCATGAGATAAGAACAGCTCTGCTCCACAGCAAACTAACCGCCGTCATTTTCTGTCTCGCCACTGCCAGGAAGCAAGAAGACAACGGATCATGGATGGAAATCTCTGAAACCTTGAACTGAAATAAATTCTATGTATTTATTCTTTATCTAGGGTTTTGTTTGTTTGTTTTTTAGAGACAGGGTTTCTCTGTGACTTTGGAGGCTGTCCTGGAACTAGCTCTTGTAGACCAGGGTGGTGTCGAACTCACAGAGATTCACCTGCCTCTGCCTCCCTCCAAGTGCCGGGATTAAAGGCGTGCACCATCATTGCTCAGCAAAACCTTTCTTTTTAGGTTATTGACTTCAGGTATTTTGTCACAGTAACAGTGGACTAACACATTTAACTCATTCTGTGCTCAGGTTTTCATAGCTAAAACATGACTGTGGAGGAACCCTTACTGAGTGTTCTCAGCCAGGCAATGAGGGGTGTGGGGGGGTGTGTGAATACAAGTATAACCGAGTCTACTCCCAGTTTCCATTCGAGCCGAGTAAGAACACACGGCTTTTACATTTGGCCGAAGATGGCACCTCCGTTACCTACCGACTTCCTGCAGTAACAGAGAAAATAGCTCAGGAGACATTTTTGAACCACTTGGAGTGATATATGTATGATACATGCCTATGAATGTGCATAAAAATCAGGATTCAAAACAAAACTTCAAGCGTGACTTTGAAAAGAAATGGAAGAGTGTACACTAGAAAGCTCCCAATTCAATGAAGCATTGTATTATTCATGGACAGCGGGGAAGGCCGGCACCGTCAGAACAGGGGACTTCAGACATCCCGAAACGTCCAATTTCCCTCTCACCCGAACGGCGGCGGCGTCAGGAAACCGGATCCGTACCGCGCAGCGATGCTCGGAGAAGTGAACCTGGGCCAGGTTACGCCAATAATTGCCAGCCCCGCAGGACACAAGCTCAGAAATTTTTGTATGTTCTCCGGAGACAAAAAATGAGTGATCATCAAAGGCCCCAGCGCTCAGCAGGACTGTCATGAGCCCGAAGTTACAACTCAGACATGCAACAGAAAATATCACCCGCACCTCTCCAGCGCTTCGTCTGTAGTAATTAAAAACCCGATCCCTGCTGTTTTATCATCTCATTAGCAATGGGGGCACCAGACTTTTATCCTTGTTTGTCGGGAATCAAACATACCAGAGGAACTCTGATTATAAATTGATGAAGGTGAAGTTAAAACTTTTCAATAAGAGAAGTGACTGTTCGTTGTGGGTTTTTTTTTTAAAGCTGATTAAAGGGATCCATTTCACACCCCCCTCCCTCCATCACAGCTGTGTCCCTGTCCAGCCCAGAGTTGTGGAGGTCAGCTCCAGACTGCGACCTCGCCACGCGTGTTATAAAGGGAAGTCGCTTTGTTCTCCCTTGATGTAAAACAAATACCGGCCCTAAAGAAAAAAAGATTATCTTCTGAAATCACAGATACAAAGCGATCCGTCCTTTCCGAGGCTTTTTAATGAAGTCAGGACACCTTTGACCTTCTCAGTGACACGCACCCGATGTCTTTTATTTAGGGTGGTGGACTGGCCCCCTTGTACAGCCCAGGCAAGCTTTCTGCTTATTTTAATAACTTGGCTTTTGCTGAGGTTAGGTAAAGAGCTAAGGAGGGGGGACAGCTACTTTCGGTGTTTGTTTCCAAAATGACAATATCTTCCAGACTCTAAATTATCCTATTCGGGTCCAAAGAATGGCAATGCCATGCCCGGGAATGCCACGAGGTCCCCATTTTAATCCCTGTGTCAGAAAGCTGAGGCTGTTTTGAGCAAAAGCAAGTGAGATGGCTTACAGTGTGTTTCATTTTACTTAGATGCCTCACCCAGAAGCCATAGGTGACCCTTGTTATAACAGCATTCTGACAGGGGCATGCTATGTGCCCTGTCCATCGACAGGCACCAGGGACCACAAAGCAATGTGGATCTCTGCCTTATGGGAAATCTTGAAACTCCCACATCCAAAGAAAACCCTGGGATATGTTCTTTGAGGAAGGTTAGTCTCAATGAGTTAGGCAAACCTAGAAACAAAGCAAAATAAAAAGCTAACAAAAGCCATGCCTGTGTCACCTCAGCACCATGACATGTAGAGCGAGTAATTCTCCGTGAGTGCTGCCCTGACCTCTGTCTACTACATGCCTGGAGGCCCATCCCCACCCCTGCCCTAATTGCAATGAGCAACATTGTATCTAGGTGTTGCCAAGTGTCACTGCAACTCAAAACTGTCCATCGCAGAGAATGACTGGAAAATTCTGTGACCATTTGTCACCCATGCTCAGAGCCCTGAACTGGTAGACTGTCCCAGAAAACCTGAACAAAATATCCTAGCTAGATAGGAAGGCATTTCCTCCTGAGTGCCCTCTTTGACTGTTACCTCCTGTGGGAGTGTGTGTGTGTGTGTGTGTGTGTGTGTGTGTGTGTGTGTGTGTGTGTGTGTGTGTGTTACCTCCTCCAACCCAGCGTTCAAACAAATGAATAAGTAATGCAAGCTAGAGCTTTCACTGAGAAAAATAAGCAGAGAACTAAATTCATTAATAAATCACCCAACTGCATGAATGGGTTTGTCGAGCCGTTAATACAAGGTACCTAACAAGCACTGTGCTTCTAAACAAATTAAATACATATGTAACTGCCTCCGGTGGCCTGGCTTAGATTTAATCAGAGCAGTTGCAGCTGAAGTCTGAAGTGAGTCTATGGGGGGTTAGGTTTAGGGGTGTTTCACGTTTTGTCTTTATGAGCCATGCCAGGAGAGCATGGATGCTTCATCCTGTCTGGAAAATTAAAGGCCTCTTAGGCTTCAAGGGTCCATGAAGTTGTAGCCAGCACTTCGTAAAGGGGAACAAAAATGCCTGAACTGCTTGGAGGGTCTGGGTGCATCCCGGCTTATGGTGCTGGTGTTTGCTCTGCTGGGCAATGAGACAGCTGTCCCTCGGGGCAGGGGAGTGGGAGGCCACTGTCCACAGTGCCTGTGGAATGGTGTGTCTAAAGTCCAGTCCCAATCTTGAAATGGTGCTTGAGAAGCTATGTGTGCCACCATCTTGCTCCTGCATCCCTAACCAGCTTCCTAGCAACAACAGGCTGTTCAGACATGGGCCGGCTGCAGCATCCTTTACAAGACTTAAAATATATGACAGAACTGGAGGTAAGCCTGGTGTGGTAAGCTCAGCCTGGAGGGAACAGGGAAATTTGGCCTTGCCAAGTTTAGAAGGGTATTTTGGCAACAGGGTTCACTCCCCATAGCAGTGCTGACTCACCCCTGGAGCAAGAGGGTGCAGGATGGTGCCACTAGGAGCCTGGACCATCGCAGGGCTCCTGAGACGCCCGCCTAGAGGGAGACTGCCACTCTCCTCCTGCAAGGGTTTGTAGATAGCTTATTAAACACTACTTTAATGGCACAGTGCTTGCCTAACACAAGGAAGGACCTGGGTTTTATTTCCAGCACAAACAAAGTACCGTCAAGCACAACTGTAAAACCAGAACTTGAGGGGTAGAAGCAGGAGAATCAGAAGTTCAGCAACAGCCTGAGCTACATAGTGAGTTTGGGGCTAGCCTGGGCTACGTGGAAGCTTATCTCAAAGAAAAACATAATGAAACACAACAGGGGCTAGAGAGATGGCTCAGTGGTGAAAAGAACTTGCTGCTTTTGCCGAATACCTGAGTTACCAGCTCCAGTATAACCCTTTGTAACTCCAGTTCCAGGGGATCAGACACCCTCTTCTGGCTGCTGTGGGAACTGCACACTGTGGTACATATACATACATGCAGGCAATACATACAAACATAATAGTAAGTGAACCTTATAAAAAAGACTGAAAATTCATTATTATTTCCAGACACCTTGCTCCACAGGAAATATGGCCTTGTTCATTTTTTTTACAAGGTTTTGTGGCCTTTCTCCTTGATTTTGTGTATGTTTGGTGTTACATTATTTTAAAATTTACATGATACAGGTAGATTAGAAATGCCAGATACTAGGAATAGCAGAAGCAGGACCTATAAAACTTGGCAGAGATAAGGAAGTGCATGAGGTACTACAATGAATATGACATTTGACCTTGAAGAAAACCTGAGGATGCTTTTGTAGTGGACCTTGGGAAAATGGTGGCCTGTAAGTTACTGGGAAAGTGACTGAATAGGAAGAAGTTGGAAGCAAAACAAGCTCACACCCGTTGGGTGGCTGTGGAAACCCGTGACTTAGTTATCTAGTGGACACCTGAGCCTTGCACACACACACACACACACACACACACACACACACCTACACACCTGCACTCTCTGGGATTAAAGGTGTGCATCACTACCACCGCCGCCACCGGGCTCATCTTATTCCTCCATGGTGGAACCCTAAGAGACAAACTCAGGACATCTTAGGGCTGGAGAGATGGCTCAGCAGTTAAAATCACATCTCATTCTCCCAGAGGACCAGAGTCCAAGCACCTAAACTGAGCAGTTCTCAACCACTTATAACTCCAGCTCCAGGGGATCCAACACCTCTAGCCTTCACAGCCACCTGCATGCATGAGCACATACCCCCCCCACATACACATAATGAAAAGAACAAATTCTTTAAAAAAGCCAAAACCCTCAGATTATCAAGACTTGGCAGCAAGCCTCTCTACCTGCTGAGTCATCTTGCCATGCTTGCTGCAAATCTTTATTTATTTGTTTTATGTGCTGGGGGATTCGTGATACCTAATACCCTGAGCGTGCTGGGCAAGTGCTCTACAGCTGAGTTACATCCTGGATCCCCATTTGTGCCTTTCCTATTCAGACAGGGCGCGCGCTCTCTCTAAGTTGCCCAGGTTAGCTTGGTTAGCTTGAACTTACTCAGTAGCCACAGGTAGACCTTGAATTTATAATCTCTCCACCTCAGCTTCCTGAATAACTGGATTGACAGGTCTGGACACAGGTTTGTGACTTTGAAACAAGCCTTATAACAGAGCTGAGTAGCATCCTATACTTTAGATGAAAAATGGTTGTACGTCTACACTTACATGCACTGGGTCTTTTAAACAGCCT